ATCTAGCGGGGGGTGTTCGACCGGTAAACTGCCCCTCACCGTGTTTATTTGCTGGAGTGGCCTCTCCAGAGGCGGGTGTGGATAAAAAGAAGAAAGCAAGGAGGTGCCCAAGCAGTTGGCTTTGTGAGACTGAGCTATGCCTGGTCTCTACCCTTCGACCTTCCAGACATGATTAGATCTTCGGCTTGACAAAAGCCATCCCGTGTATCTCGCTGGGTCAGAGAGGTGCACAAGCCATCACACCACGTCAGGGTGCAGTCTCGTCATGATGGCGGTTTCACTAAAGACTAGTGAAAATCGTAATTTGCATCAAAATCTTGACTATCGTGGTGGGAAAACTCAAGTTATGCACGCAATGCAGCTTATCCAACAAAACACGTTCGTACCGCTTTTCTAACGCAGTTTTCTTGCTCTGTGCGTAACAGTTCGTTGAAGATATGTTCAAAGGATTTACCTGCTTATGTGAATCAATCCTAGCCTTGATACTGCCATCTTGGATGAGTGTGGATAGTTCGTTCTCGAGTTCCGCCACCGTGGTATCGAATGCCCGTGCCATCAAATTCAAGTCAGCTGTCGAATAGGGACTGAAGTACTGAGGATAGGGAAAGAGATCGAACAAGGGATTTCATATATAAACAGAATCTCCCAGAAAGTATTTTGAGAAAATACCATGACTCACATCACGCTTCCGAGATCATAGGCACTTTGGGATTGGTACAAATATGAGGTTAGAGGTACAGTATACTCGTGGTATTTTGATCAGGAAACTTGATTAGTCGTATTGTTGATGTCTTCACTCTCCAATCCTTTCAAATGAGACTTCCTCTAAGGTACAACGATGAAGTAGGCCATGAGTTTGTTTGTAGTGCGTAGTAGGTGAGTAAATAAGGGCGCCAACGCACAAGCAGTCCGAAAAACGGAATGAATAAGCAAGCACAAGCATTGTGTGAAATCGAGATGTGGTCAAATAGACAACGAATCAATACTGAGCTGATTGGTTGAAGCGAATCGGTATTGTAATTGAGTAAGTTCGTATAACGTGCGTGCGTGTGATACCAGTCATTGCCAGCCAATTAATCAGCGATACGCTAAGTATATTCAGTTAACGATAGGCAACAATACATGGTCTTTGTTACACTTACCATGCAGAATCGCGAAAACCGTGGAAGAAATAGAGCACCAGCGCCTCCTGATGAATTTTGCTTCCTAGCTCATCTTCAGAGGAATTTCCAGAGAGAAAATGTTTTTTTGAAAATAACTAGCGACTAACATGGCAGATTGTTACATCGCTTAGGGGGGGAGGGGGCTAATTCCACAAATCAATTGCCTTATGCTACTGGTCAGGTATGATGCAACGCTATTGAACTATGGTAGATTTTTTTATTACACACTTTCGTGTGACGAACAGCAGACTGGGTAAATCCCATAGTCACGAGGACCTGCTGTTCAGTGATGATAACCACATAAAGCCCCGATAGGTCAGGCGTGGTATAGAACCGGATTAGTGTTCACTAGGGTTCATCGTCATCGTCATCCTCGTGCAGCGAAATACAGAGAAGTAAACTTCACTGGTTGCTGCCAAACTCGCATATGCATTGGGGTTTGTAGGACGGGTACTGCTAGGGTGTCCAGCCAATAAGCAGGAGAACGATTAGGGTTCTCAACCAGAGCCCTTAGTTCTGACAAGAATCTAACCGCCAGGCAGCAAGCGAATCAATTACTCCTCTATCATTTTTTACCGACTGAAAAGCAAATTCTAGTCGAATTCCCAACCTGGAGGACCAAGAGACTGAACTTCGTCTGACCTCTACCCTTCGACCTTCGGCTTGACAAAAGTGCTTCACAAGCACTGATGATGTCACCTCGGTTGGTGATGAAACGTTTGCAAACAAATTGCCAAGCTCGGCGAACAGGCGAAATAGAATTCAGTTCACCCGAGCTACGAGAACCGATTTTCAATACTTTGTCAACAAAGAACAAAATCTCACCCATCTGTGGTGGAACTGGAGCATTGGATGAGCCAGGTAACGTTCAACTGTCGTGAATAGTGCAAATTAATGAGGGTTCGCCTGAATGCTTGGCTGAGGATTACCCACATAAGATACGGGCGTCGTGATGCAACCATGCTGAAGAGTCAGGATTACTGCACCCCAGTCCTACCAAATGATCGAGTCTATGAACTTTATCGTTTCTCGTTAGAGGTGATTCGAGCGGTGAATTTTTTTAATTTTTGACACCACAACACCAATGATTTGTATTGGCGGAAAAATGAAATTTTCTGTGCTGCCTTGTACTCTGTTTGCAAAGTGAGCGAATTATGTGACTCAACCACAACTAATTGAATCGATCCAAAGGGGAGGAGGTATATAAAGGCCTACTACCTACCTGGCATAAGGCCCGATTTCGAATAGCTCGGCATAAAACAGCAACGTGGTCTGCAAGGAAGTAGTCCAAACAGAGTAGATCGCGCAACTTGTTCAATCGGCCCAAACAGGCCGCGTAGTCTGCTTGGTGGAATGAGTGTAACATATCCCGACAAGCCGGTTCAGCCTCGAGCAGCAAACGTACATTCGGGCTGCTTAGTACTTGAGAGGCCAATTCGGCCCGATCAAACGTGGCCAAACTGCACAAGGTGACGAAGTACGCCAAATCCGATTGCGTGACAATGCTGCACGTGGGTGATTCACAGTGATCCGGGCTGACCTGTGTGAATGCGTAGAAAATAAACGGAGGAATTGCAGGCAGGAGAAACCTACGGAAAGCACAGATTACGTAACAATTAAGTAAGTATTGGAATCCACTCAGACGAATTGTGTACTGTTTTATTACCACGAATTATTGGAGCTAGGTTCAGTAGCTTAGGCGCAATTATATGAATCTCGCCTAAGCTCTACATGGTGAGTAGAATGACTATGCAAAGCTTCCCGGTTTGCCTCCAACTCCACTTTATCTGCCGACTCTATTGTTCCACTTTCCTCCTATATATCTAGTCATTCCTTCCTATCATAACAACCAGAATGGTCCGCCAAACTCTTCGTGATTTGGATGTTTGTAAACCACCCAGTCCGGACGGTATCCTACCTATCATCCTAAAAATGTGTGCGCCGGAGTTAGACCCTGTGCTATGCCGCCTTTTCTGTTCTTCACTCTACCTTAAATCTTTCCCTACTCTATGGAAAAATACCATTATTTTTCCTATTCAAAGCGCGGTGACTCTTCTGACCCTAACGACTACCAACATATCACTCTCACACCTGTGATTTTGAAAGTGTTTGAAACCATTATCCCGAACAAATGCACACATTTATCGAACGCGAAGGTTTGTTGGATGACCGCCAATATGGATTTCGCCCTCGTTGATCTACGGGTGACCCTACTGGCGCTCATATCACATTCCTGGTCAACTGCACGCGATAACCAAGCACGGTTAATGACATTACAAACTGAACTGAAACGGCACTCGATAACCACGGAGAAACTCACATGGTCTAGCTCCACATTTCAGAGACCTTCGACCGCGTTTGGCATGAAGGTCTGTTGTCGAAATGACCCGCGTTCGAATTCCACCCGTCTCTAATATCGTGGATCTAGTGCTTTCTCAGCAAGTGAACTATCCTCGTCCGAGCAGAAGGGGTCCTATTTAGGCATTCCCTGTTAACGCCACTGTCCCCCAAGGTTCTGTACTTTTGCCCACCCTCTTTCTTTTATTTATCAACGATCTTTTGTCCAAAACCTCTAGTTCCATGTACTGCTTTGCCGATGATGGGACTCTCCACTGTTCTCTTTCTTACCTTACAACCCATCAGGTCACTACCAACATCGATCACGATCGTAATATCATTAGTGCTTCTCTTGCCTCCGGTCTCGGACTCATTTCCGCATGGGGTTCAACCAAACATGCGTTTCAATGCCTCCTAAATTCCTCTCCTCTCCGTCTCTCTTAAACGTGTCTCTTATTCTCCTCAACTGATTTGACTCGCTGCCCCTTCGTTTCGTAAATTCTCTCTCCCTCTTGGCTTTATCCATAAATTCTTCTCTCTGTTAGTTCTCTCTTATTTCCACACTCGCCTCTCGAGCTAAGCGCAAACTTGAATTTCTATTCCGTGAAAAGCGTTTCTTTACAAATAAGCACCTTCTCATCTTATACAAAGTTCAAATCCGCCCGATGCTTGAATACTGTATGGGGTGGAGCTTCATATTCCGCTTTTTTCTCTCCGCGACCGTGTTCATCATCCGGCTGGTCGACGAACCGTCTTAAGAGTAACGAAGACAAGAAACCTTGGCGAGACAGTGCAGGGCACGTGAAGACAGCTAGTACTGCCTGGGCGGACCAGGTACACCGCCTGATTTAATGGCTATTAAAAAATGTATCCAACTAAAAGGGAAGCATGAATCTAAAAATCGAATGGCGAAGGAGCCGTGTTGTTAGCCACCGGCAACTGTACACCAACACACTGTTGTTTTGCAATCCGCACTCCTCTGTGCAAAGGCTAAAGG